CCTCAAGGAAGCAGAGAATAAGAAGGCATCCTGAAAGGGTTTGGATAAGCATGTGACTGACAGGGCTGTGCTTGACAGCCACGGGAGCCGGGATCAACCTGGCTCCAAAAGCAACAACAAAGAGAACTGACAACGGATCCCGAAGTCTGAGTGTCCCCTACTCAGGGGGACAGGGTTGTGACCTGGGCCCAGCTGCTCTGGCCAGGCTTACAGGGTTCTAGCCAGCAGGTTGCCACCTCCTCCAGCATTAAAGGGAGCTGCTACATGTATGCGCTGTGTCCTGCTGATGACATCCCTGAGAGCTGGGGGAAGAAATCTGGGTTTCTGAATGGCTGGAACTCGGGCTCTTGCTTTTGTAAATTAACTGGGTCAGAAGTTGGAGAGGATTATAGGCTCAGGGCCAAGGAGCAGCCAAAACATACAAGGGCTTGGCAGGCAATGGCAGAACATGATATGGCAGAAAAGGGAAGGAAAACCAGAGAAGAGAGCCTGGCAGTGATTGGGAAAGGGGTCAGGGCATTCGGCTCACCCCAAGTGTGGTATTTCCTGTTCTGTCAAGAAGGCCAACGGGCAGGGAGGTTGCATTCTCCGGAGGGTTAGCAATCTCCCAGAATGTCTCCTGTTAGCTCCAGGCATCCTGATGTTTCACTATCAGGCAGCTCCCCCGGCGGGTCACAAAGGTCTCCAATGATAGATGGCCTGTCCAAGGTCATCAGTAAACACAGACGCCCTGTCTCCCCATCGCAGTCATCAAACCTCAGGGCACCTAGGGGTCGCTGGGCTGGGTGGTGCCCAGCGTGGTGGTGTGATGTCAGATCTCAGACAGCGGGGCACCAAGAGCTTGCCCAGGCACGAGGACAGCCAATTTATGAAGTTCATCAATGGAGCTCATGGGTCCTGTGAACAAAGGACGGTTTATTTTTCATTCCGTGGATTTGTTTTTATCTGCTTCATTCATATTTTTCTCAGTTTAATTGAAGTGTAATTTACATACAACAGAATTCAACAATTTAAAGAATTCAGTGAGTTTTGTCAAACATAAATAGTCACACCTCCACATGCAGGATATAGAACATGTGTTGGCAGACTACAGCCCGTGGGCCAAATCCGGCTCCCACCCTGTTTCTGTTTTGTACCTTTTCAGAGTTGTAGAAAAATAAATAAAATGAAGAATATGCGACAGAGACCGTAAGCAACCCACAGCACCTAAAATCTTTACCATCTGGCCTTTAGGGGGATGGTTTGCTGATACAGAATGTTTCTATCACTCCTTGGTGTTCCCTGCGGGCCCTCTGCAGGATTCCCCTCCCCCTCACCCCCTGGCAACCACTGATCTGCTTTCTATCACTGTAGTTTTACCTCTTCTAGAATTTCATATAAATGAAATCACACAGTATGTTGCCTTTTGTGTCTGGCTTCTTTCACTTATAATTCTTTTGAGATTCATCCTCTGGGGCTTCACGTTTGTCAGCAGTGGGGTCCTTTTTTATTTCTGAGTGGTGTGATAGCCCATCAAAGACAGGGTCTAATTTAAGACAGCCCTCAACATGTTTTAACCACCTGCAGGCTCCAAGTAGAAGAAAGAGGAGGTGCAGGGGGCGGTGGCCGTGGCCGGGCAGCCCAGCGCGCCCGCTCTCATGGGCCTTGTCTTTGCAGGCATGAACAACCGGGAGGTGCTGGAGCAAGTGGAGCGCGGCTACAGGATGCCCTGTCCGCAGGACTGCCCCATCTCCCTCCATGAGCTCATGATCCACTGCTGGAAAAAGGACCCCGAAGAGCGGCCCACTTTCGAGTACTTGCAGGGCTTCCTGGAAGACTACTTCACCGCCACAGAGCCCCAGTATCAGCCTGGTGAAAACCTGTAAGACCTGTGTCTGCAGAGAGAGGCCTGGTCCAAGAGGCTTCCCCGCCCCCTCCCCATTAGCTTTCAATTCCGTAGCCAGCTGCTCCCAGCAGAGCAGTGAGAACTGTCCAGGATCAGATTGCATGTGACTCTGAAGCTGACGAACTTCCATGGCCCTCATTAATGACACTTGTCCCCAAATCCGAACCTCCTCTGTGAAGCATACGAGACAGAATCTTGTTATTTCTCAGACTTTGGAAAATGCGTTGTATCGATGTTATGTAACAGGCCAAACCTCTGTTCAGTGTAAATAGTTATTCCAGTGCCAACGATCCTAGTGCTTTCCTTTTTTTAAAATGCAAATCCTATGTGATTTTAACTCTGTCTTCACCTGATTCAACTAAAAAAAAAGTATTATTTTCCAAAAGTGGCCTCTTTGTCTAAAACAATAAAATTTTTTTTCATGTTTTAACAAAAACCAACCAGGACAGGTGTTTGTTTTTTTTTCTTTTTTCTAAATATGAATATATATAATATATACATCCCTGTACATACACCATGTGGGTGCTAACGTGGAGACCGTGGCCGACGTGGGCCACAGAGCTTCGGGACCCAGAGTGAGGATTGGACTGGAAAATCAACATAAAAGCACCGGTGTTATTCTGAAAACCAGTGGCCTCGTTCTTTGGCTTTTGCAAAACATGATTTGATTTTTTTTTTTTTTTAATTTGGATTGCACTTGTTTGGTTCATGACTGTGCCTGTAGATGGCTGTTACTTTGACTCTTTTCAGCAGCACCTCCCCCGCAGCTGAATTCACAAGTTCTGTTTCCAGTATTTGCTTCGACTTTCTACGATTTGATCTTGAAACTTAAAAGTGAGCCTCTTTAAAGCAAGCAAGTGGCCAATACTACCAGGGGAACTAAAAGATGGATACCACACAAACTTCTTGTATAACACATGAATGCTGAAATGTTTCCAACTTTTTAAATTTAATAAACCTTGTAACCACATTTAAACGGTCTAAAACCCATAGCACTGTAGTCGTGGCAACCTGCTAAACTTTCTCATTCAACTAACCCTTACGGGAAGGTGAGGGTGGGAGGTCATACATTTCCCATTGTAAAATAAGTGTTTGAATGTCCTGTACTGCTAATGAAATGACTTTCTCTATGTCCAAGGGTCCTCCAGTGAAATAACTATGCACTACTTTACATCTCATGGGGAAGCACAAAAAAGAAATACTAGATTTTTAGTTGCTGTTTGTACCAACCTTGAATTACGTATGTTTAACAAGTCAAAAACCCTATTTCTATTGAGTTTTTAATACTGAGTGGCAACTCTGAAGTCTTAATTCCTTTTTTGTTATGATTTCTTTGTGAGTTTACATTTTTAAATTGTTTAACTTTCTTAATTTAGTAATTAAAAAGACAGCATTTTACATTTGAATTTTTTTTTGTTCATTTGTTTAAATCATGGAAGGTACTCTAGGAGTGACATATTTGTCCCATACCAAGTGGTAAGGAGTCACCTGGAGAATTTAACCATTGTGCAATGATTTCCAAATGGCAGAAACATTCAGAACACCTGGAGTGGGGTTTTCCCGCCCCCCCCCCCAGGAATGGCTGGGCTATTGTCTAGTTAATTCAGAGGATTGTTAAAGGAAGACTAGGCATACCTTAACATTTTAATTTATCAGGCATTTTTGCTAACTAAAATTTTCTGTGTCCCACTTGTAGGAGAAAGAGACAATTGCAAGAAGAAATCTTTCTTGTCCTGGAGTCAATACATATGTTTCCCAGTGTCCCTCCACCCCTGTAATGAAGTCGCTCAGCAGGGGAACAGCCTGGTGTTGCAGAAGGGGCAGTAGGTGGACTGGGCCAACAGGCGGGGCCTGGCTCCGCACTCATTCAGCTGCACGCATTCAACAGCCACCTGGAATCTCGCCCTTTCAGGTCCTGTCTAGAAATGAGGGGGTTGGATGAGATTTGCTGTAGGCTCCTACATCTGAGATCCTGGGATTCTAAGATCACTGATGACGTAGAATTACACAAAGAGGACAGTTTTTTTGCTGAAATAGCCTTTATATTTAGAAAGTTTCTGACATTTTTTAAGTGAAACAGGGATTTTCTGGCTAACCAAGTTTTCGTGGTATTGGTTTTGGTATTAATACAATTGCTAAATTGATAAAATTTCAAAGATCTTGTTACATACAATTATCACAATACTGGGCAATTTATTAACACATTCTAGATATTTTTAAAGATATAACTTTGTTTTTCATCTTCACATCCCAGTAGGTCGGATAATTTTCAAGTACTCTCTGGGGGATTTTTGTGTTTGTTTTTGACTTGGTCATTCAAAAAGATCTAAAAAAGTCATAACAGCCTGTTTTAAACAGATTTTTAAAGGAAAGCAGTCTCTTCAAAGAATAGCCTTCAATTCATCCATTGAGTTAACTGTGGATTCTCTCACATGAAGCAAAACTCAAGACTTGGGTTAACTTGAGGACACACTTAAGAAATGCAGCTCGCTGGAACCGTTCTGAAACAGAGTAGGGTTGCAGACTAAAGAGAAAAGAGTAGCTATAAATATGAAGAAATCAGACATTTCAGGTTTTTTCTTCCAAGAAACTTATGTGATGCCAAGAGATCTTGCCGAGGCAGACCAGTCCAGGCAAATGAAACACCACCTCCAGTGAGTCCCAACACCTCCCAAGAAGCCTCCCTCCCTCGAAAGTTTTAGAAGTTTGGGGTTAGGAAACTAAATGCACTACCCAAAAAGTTCTCTTGTATCTTGAAAGGTGCCTTAGCGGCAAGTGATGGTGAAATATTTTTTCGTCTTTCGTAACCTGGCAGTGAGTGAGTAAGGACCTGCTCTGTTCCCTGAGGAGAGCTGGCATCTGGCATTGCTCTGCTTCATAGGGAGGCTTCCTAATAATCTAGTTCTTTTTACTTTCTTTTTTTTTTTAGTTGGGGTATAGGTGTTTTACAATGTTGTGTTAGTTTCTACTGTACAGCAAAGTGAGGTAGAGTCCCCTGTGCTATACAGCAGGTTCTGATTAGTTATCTATTTTATACATATTGGTGTATATATGTCAATCCCAATCTCCCAATTCATCTTTTTACTTTCTTAAAATCAAATAATAAACCTACTGGAGAAGACAACTTGCCAAAGCTCAGATGTTGTAAATGAGACAAAATGATTTCTGTTCACCCGTGCTCACTCCTCACACTGTCCTCTGCGTCCGCTTTGTTCGCAGCATACTGAGGGCCGGGAGGACCAGTAGATGCAGGGCCTCCCCCGTGTTAGGGCATCAAGTTGCAGACTGAAGCCAATGAGGTCTTCTACCTCGTGCATGGCGAAGAAAGGTGTGTAAGGAACCAGACGTTTCCACAAGATAAGTTAAATGTATTCATAGTCCTTCAAATACAGCCACACAACTGAAGATTCCCTGACAAGCGCCAGAGGGTGTTTACCTGCCTCGAGAAAGACAGGAATCCTCCTGTGGTTAAATCTTGGCACCAGAGGACTTTTCTAGTTGTATCGGAGCTGCAAAATTTTTATCTGAAATTTCCCATGGGACTCTAAGAATGTATACTGTATTAATTGGAATAGTTCTTTCATGAGTCCTGAAGAAGGTAAGGTTTTCAGCAGAATGCAGAGGAGGATGGCACTGAAGCCTGCTGCATGAGGCATGTCATCTGCTCCTTTGTCATGGCTCCGGACAAGAGAACCTCACTTGACATAATAGGCATTTCCTAACAAGTTGCACTGGGATAAAATGGCGTTTGGTCGATTCATTGCCGAAAGGTATTTTAATAGGTTTAGATAAGTTTTGTTGGCTTTCTTACCACTACATATTAAACTGTTGGAATTCAATTAGGCCCTCCAAAATACTTGCTGGGAGGGAGGGAGGGAGAGAATAAGGGGGAAGGAGGTAAGGAAGGGAGGGAGGGAGGGAGGGAGGGAGGAACTAATTCCGGAAGGGCAAAAGGGGGAGCGAGAAGAAAGGAAGCTCAAACAAATTCTTATCCTAAAAATGATATTGTGGGGTACAGGTTTACTAAGGCAGGTACTAATAGTATATGTATTTTATTTCTCAAATATAGATTGTAACCACAGAGAAGAATGAAATTAGTATTTCATGAAATACTGAATACTTTTCAACAGAATGAAAAATTGGTATCTCTAATATCTTTGCAATATCAAATGAAACGTCATAATTTATGTATACCTACATTCTCAGACATTTTTCCTAATAAATTCCTAAATCATACCTCATTCTTTCCAAACATGCAAAATATTCAGAATTCCATTGGGGGGGTTGGAGATATACCTTATTTTTTAAATGAATTCTGAGGACTGGAAAGAAAAATAAGTGGTTTTCCAGTATGAGAGGGACTATTCTAAGGAGAATGTGATCAGTGACAAATGACTGCTCCCCCCAGCAGCCAGAACCTTATGCTCCTTTCCAGAATACTTACTGCTCTTCTAATAATGTGTTTAATAATACGACTCTCTCTTAATGCATTTTCCCTGCCAGATTGTGAGCTCCTTGGGAACAGAAACTGCCTTACTTGTTCACCAGTCTTCTGCACCAAGGGCAGTGATGAGCTGATGGTCGATGTTGGATGAGTGGGTGGATGGCTAGATGGGTGATGCCGTCCTGTGGAGTGAAAGGTAGACCTGAGAATAACACACCTAAGGGCCTGCTGAGCATCCTGGGATTTGCCGTGAGCTTCCCAAGGCACTAGCGCTGCCACTGTGAATGTGGGCTCACCAGTGTCCATACATGATTTGAAGCCCCAGTCTGTAGTCTGAAATGAACACCGTTAGTGCTTCCCGAACCTTGCCCCAGAACTCGTCCCAACATCAGTGGGAATAAACCTGTAGCCCCTGGGACCTGGGGCCTTCAAAGTCTCATTCTAACTTAGTCATTTTATGAAAAATTGGTATTTTTCCTAAGATATCCATTTTTCATCTTCATATAAAATACTTTTCCCATCCTTCAGGTTGTGCATTGTTAACCAGCCTATGGCTTGTAGTATCCCTGGCAAACCTCTGCATGACCCAGGGAGTGCATGTGCCCCGCTTGAGAACCACACCGCATGAAGATGTTGTCCGTGAAATAGTACTGCTAGCGTGAAAATATTGTAGTCGGGAGAGGTAGCATTAACCCCCATCAATATGGATTCTCTTTATTTGATTCCCTTTTTCACCCAGCAAAAAATAGCCCCCTGACTGAGAATGGGCCAGAAGATGGGAGGGTTTGATAATGGGAAGAGGAAAACCATCCAGAGCTGCCTGGAAGTGAAGGTTTGGTCAGGTCAGCCTGCTGGTACAAGATGGCAGCAAATGGGAGTAGACGGGTTGGAGATGTTGGTCAAGGAGGAAGAAACCAGAACTGGGATGAAAGAAGCCCTTTGCCAGGGCTCTTCAAGGCAATGGGATGACCAGAAAGATGACTTTGGGTATGTGCAAGGACTTCACCATTCATTTCTTCTGCAAACGTCTGTTGAGTACTTATTATGGGTTAGACCCTGTGCTTAGCACTAGAAAGCCAAAGAGACAATTAGTATCCCCAGTCCAGTGAGGATGGAGACCCATAAGAGATAGTTGCAATAAGCTCTCTGTTGGGAGGAAAGACGGGTGGCAGCAAAGGAGTGCCAGATGGCCCGGAATGGGGAGTGCATGGGAGACTTCCTAGAGGAGGTGTTCCTAAAGGACAAGCAAGGTGGATTATGTAATGCTTAATGGTAAGTTCAGTGTTTTTTGCCTTTGGATGTGTTTCCTTCTGATCTCCAATCCCATTAGGGTCCAGCTCATGCTTTAAATATAGAAGGTGCTCAGCAAATGCATCTAAATGAAGAGAAACCAAAACGAAGCAAAGAGAAATCTAAATCTCTTTTTCTCCCTCCTCCCCACAAACGCAGGCATTAAAAGGTATGTACGTGCATCATTTATTCTGATTAGTGCACTGCTACCTGGAGGGATAGGAGATAATACTATAAAAGGACAGAGAGTAAGGTTTCAGGCAGGGTTTTGGAATGTGGTTTGGACTATATTTATAGAGTACGAGAATTGCCTGGAAAGGGGCTTATAATAACGCCTCACTTCCTCTTTTAATAACAATTAGTAGGGGTTTTTCTCCCATTGATGACCCCATTTCATTCTTTCCTTTCCTCCCATTTATGAGGCTAGTTTGTTTGAATCATCAAGCAATATGTAAACTCATGAAAGAAGGTATATACTAGCTGTTGCAAGGTATTCTTTTTGTTTTGCTTTGGAATTCTTTTCCCTTTGGTTAATTTTCAAGTGCTTGCTATGTAATAATCAATGAGCAGCTAACTGGCAGTAAGAGAATGAGATGGGTATTATTCAGATAGTGTTTTTAACAGAAGCCGTACGTGTAACACTGTGGGGAAATATTAGTAAATAGCAAGAGA